CCCTTCATTTCAACCTTTATTCTTCTCATTTGGCGACAACCCCTCTGCAAGGACTGTCTCGCTGTGTCTGGGCAGTGTCTAGCACAAAGAAGACGCACTCCTAGTTGGAGCCTCCAATCACTAACATACAGCCAAAAATCCTGGCAACAATCACTGCTACATACACCCTGTCTTGCAAGATGGCAACAGCAAGGCTAGAAAAACATCCTCCAAGAAGTAAGTAATGACAGCACGTCACATCCAATCAATCGCAATAACTATGGGCAGTATATTATAAGCTGCTATTACGTTTTTCTAACTACAACAGCAGCCAAGTACTTTTGGTGTGAGCAAAATGTATTTGCCATTAAGTACAGACAGAAGATAGGCCTAAGTCTCCACCAGTGGTGTATACGATTGTCTTTGCTGCTTACTTTGACACCGGGCACGATGCTGTCTCCCTGTTAAAAAGGAGGAGTGTTCCCGAGCTGTGAAAGGGCAGGGAACCCAAAATGGGGGTCAGATTCACAGCTTATTGGAATCACTGCAGCTCCATAGGGCCACAAAGGCAGCACTCATAACCTAACGGGCTTCTCAGGCCAGGTAATGACTATGAATTACTGTTTTCAGGACAAACCAGATGACGGGGCTGCTCTTCAGCACAAAAGGCCAGTACGCCTCTTTATCCTGGTTTTTGTCCACCATTACAGGAACATTACAAGCTTTTCAGAAACCTAAGATAAAATCCTGTGTGAGAGGAATTACAGGAAGAGCCCAGTAATTGTGAAGCCTAATTACAAAGTAACGTGGAGCTTGAGAGCAGACCTGCTAAGCAGTTAGAGACTAGTCTAACGAGTGGGCCATCTGTCACCCATGAGAGGGCTAACGAAAGGCCAGCACAGGACAATCCTGACGGTGTGCGGAGGAGGATATGCAAACGAGGAAACATCCAAATACAACAATTAAGATACACAGTATGAAATAAGCTGCTAATTGGAGCACATATGCATGCTTAGCATTTGGAGAACATAATTATATTTGTAGAGTAAAGGGAAGTTCACAACAGAGGCTGCTAATAGAACAGCGCAGGTTGCCATGCACTGAGTGATGAGCAGAAGAGTGCAGGAGGGATGGATGGGGCTGGAACAGAGATGCAGTTTGGATTCTTTGCACTGGCGTTGCAGGGCAGAGGGATGCCATTTGATCACCAGCACAGTCTCAAACTTCCTGTACTGCACTGCTTTATACCTACTGTAGCACACCATATATACTATACTATACTACTATATACTACGTTGTCCTGAAAAGTGAAACCTTCACAACAAATCCAGTGTTTACTTACACTACAAGGCAAATCTAAGCGATAGTAGTCCCTGGAAGTGGAACTAGAAATAAAACTCTGGAGCAGTCAGTTCTGGTCTATGAATGCACTGCTCCCCTCTGGAGCACATTTAACTGTGTCAATGACAACAGTGATCAGGGCAGTAGAAGACAGCAGCTAATTAAGCAAAATGTTCTTTCTTTTTCCTAAACCACTGGATAGAAATGCAAACCGGTATTTGAAGTTAAAGTGGCATCACAGAAATTGTAAAAGGTTCAAAGTTCCATCTTTGGCACATCTTTCACTTCGTGCAAGTAAATTTAATGGCAGTTCCAACAAAAAAGATGCAAACATATCCACAAACTAGCCACAAGCTCTGACTGAAAGCTTAGAGAAAGCCTGTCATCTTTGCACTGAAAGTGTAGCGATGTCAGCTTTGAGACTGGTTCTCTCTCTTCTTTTTTTTTTTTGTTTGTTTGTTTTTCTCCCTAGCTCCTTTAAAGTCAATGAAAAGACAAAGCTATTGATCAGAAATACATTAATTTTTCCACTTGTCCACTGAGAATCAAGTAAATACTTAAACATCAGCTCACCTCATCAATTGCAGTGACCTTTCAGCATATTTTTAAGTGCCACCCTGACTAGAAATACTTTCTTTTTTTTTTTTTTTTAATTTGAACACCTGCTAAGACTCACTCAAGTCAATGGAAAGACCTTGCTCCTTCAAATGACTTTAATCAGCCCCTCGCTTACTGTGAACAACACAGACATTTTACTGACTGAGCTATTTTGGGAGCAAATCCCTCAAACGATTCAAATACTCCAAAACAAAGATGCAGCATGCTTCATCTTTGGCGAGGCAACCAAACTCCCATCTTCTGCAATAATGAAGAGAAAAAGGAAGGAAACAGAGCTTTGAAGAGCTAGTATTTTGCTATATAATTAACAGAAGAAGAAGGGAAGGAAGGATACAGAACAGCTACCTGTATTTTAACAATTGTGCAGATTCCCCACGAAACATTTTTTGAGTTGACACACCACGTTAAACATGCAATTTTTAAATATGCAATTTTTCTGCTAAGGCGTTCCAGCACTCTTGTTACGCTAAGTTTTGTTAGTTAAGCTTTGACATGTTCAGTCTTTCATTTGAACTCTAAAAACTGAAAATAAGAGACCAATAACAATGTGTGCTCAGGAATCGGGCTACTGGTCTTTAATCTTGCTTATCAGGGACTTTAATCAAGATTTCACCACTTAGGCCAGCTAGAGAAAACTGTGAAAAGCAGCTATAATGCAGGAAAACAATTAATGTTGTAAAATGGCTTTGGATCCTTGGACGAATGACATTGCAGATTAGCAGCTTGCCCTTAAATGTGAAGTCACCCTTGGGTAAATCTACAGAATATCTATTAGCTTAATAAAATTTCTCTAGATATATTAAAACCAGTATCAGTACTATTAGTAGCACAGCAACAGAACAAGTCCTTCTCAAATATCTATGCACACTACTTATCTGTCCATATCTACTACAATACTATTTTGTGCTTTGTCCTTTACAAAAACAATACCTTAGCAACTTCAGATCAGGCAAATCGGATGGCAAGTTGTGCTTAGTCAGTGTCACTGAGAGTACAGAGAGTAGGGAGGTGGGGTTTAAAATATGTCAAGATTGGAGTCTTAATAAAAAGCGTATAAGGCATCAGCATGTGGTCATAATTAGAAAAGCATGAGAAATAAGTGTTTTTTCACAGAAGACTGCCGTTTTGTGGAAAATATGCCTTACATCTGTGAAAAGCTATACTGATCAGAGGGTTGATATTATACATAGCTCCATGGAAATACTTCATTCTCTGTTCCTGCAAAAGTTTATTTCTTTATCATTCCCTCATACTCTAGTAAATAAAGAAAATAGCAGTAAAGGTCTCAATAAAACACTCTTCCTTTACTAGGGCCATTAGGGCTAAAAAAAGGATGCTAGACAAATAATTCCGAACTACGATGGAGCTAAATATTCCCATTACCATTATTCTCAGAGAGTAGTTATGGGGAGCACCATCCTCCCAGAGTATGCAGCCTGAAAAAGAGCTTCTGCCCATGGGCAGGTGTGTTTGTGAAGGTGTGTATCATCTGTGATTGCTTTCCCTTGTAGTTGAATTGGTGGGAGAAGTCAGAGACAGCTGTGCTGAGGGTGGCTGGGGAATGCATCAATTCAGCACTACCCTTCAACACTCTCTCTTTTCATTACAGGTATTAAAAATGCTCCCGATGGGCATAATAGACAGGGAAAGCCAAACATGAGGAAGGATTTGATCCAGTTCCCCATTAAATTCAAAAGAAAAACTAATAACTTCAGTGATAACAGGAGCTGGACTGGAACCTACATGAATGGCATACCACACATCATTTAATTTTCGCCAAAGCTTGTTCAGACTGCAGCAATTTCCAGCAAGAGCTGGAATCTACACCCCCCAAAACAGCTCTACTCCAGCAAATAGTACATCTATTTGGCCGCGGCGAGTTAATTTTCTTCACAGTCGCTGATGTGGGGCTGTGGTTTGGGTTTGTGCTGGAAGCTGCGCTGATAACACAGGGATGTGTTCGTTACTGTTGAGCAGTGCTTACACCGAGCCAAGGCCTTCTCTGCTCCTCACACCACCCACCAGCGGGTGGGCTGGGGGCCCACAAGGAGTTGGGAGGGGACACAGCCGGGACAGCTGCCCAAAGGGACACCCCGACCGTATGACGTCATGCTCAGCATACAAAGCTGGGGAAGGAGGAGGAAGGGGGACGGTGTTCCCAAGTCACCGTTACACGTGATGGAGCCCTGCTCTCCTGGGGTGGCTGCACACCTGCCTGCTGAGGGGAAGCAGGGAATGAATTCCTTGTTTTGCTTTGCTTGCACACACAGCTTTGGCTTTACCTATTAAACTCTCTTTATCTCAGCCCACAAGTTTTCTCACTTTTACCCTTCTGATTCTGTCCCCCGTCCCACCAGGCGGGGGAGTGAGTGGCTGTGTGGGGCTGAGTTGCCAGCTGGGGTTAAACCACGACAATGCATTAATTCAAGTATTATTCGGTTTTCCCCTGCGTAGAAAATGTAAGGCAGAGGACAAAAAGAGGACAGGGCTTGTGTGCAAGCACCAGCCCAGCTGCTGCTGGACCACTGTTTGCCTGTTGCTTAGCAATGCTTCACCTCTCTGCCAGAAAAAAAAAAAAATTCAATGAGGGAATATAAACCTGAAGTTTTGTTTATGGTAAAATAATGACTGATAGTCCTCCAACCACTTCTTCCAACCAGGCACTACATCACCTGCTGAATGCTGGAAGCTCTTTGGGACAAAGGCTGTATTTTAAAATGCTTAGCTATGAGCCCATTGGAGACCTCTAAATAAAAAAATATAATAACAGAGCAGTGGTGTTTGCATATTTATCAGGAGGAAAGCTGGAATAGGAATTTGAGGATTAAATTTTTGGGGCATGGTTCTGGGCAACCAGCTCTAGCTGCCCTTGCTTGAGCAGGGAGTTGATCAAGACAATCTCATGAGGTCCTTTCCAACTCCAACCACTCCTTGATTTTGTAATTTCAGGAGCAATATAAAGAACAGGAGGAATAAAGAAGGAAATAAAAAAGAGGTGCCCAGAGAGCAAGGAAGCAAAGAAAAAGACAGCAACATGTTCACGCCTCACTCGCCTCACTCACCAGTTATCCATTTAGCCTCTGGGTCATGAATTTTGAAATCATCACTGAAGAGGTCTTCCACTGTTATCTTCTTCTTCTGAGACAAGCTGTTATCTTCCACTGTAAAATATTTGAAAACAAACTGCCATTACTTCAACTTTGAAATGTATCTGAAAGTACAGCAGCCATGAACAGTGCCATGTCATATCTCATTTGGAAATGGTTCATATTAAGCTTTCTGTCACACATAAACCCCTTCCCATTGTCAGTGTTATAAAAAGACCATCTAGTGGTTCACAACAGAAACCTCCTGGTTATTTATGCCTGGACTCAGCAACTACAAATAGACAAGATATGGTCAAAACACACACTTTCAGACATAACCTGAATGAAAAAGATTTTAAAAGTCATGAAAACATACCTATAGATATTATAGTGCTATATAATGCTGACTTTTCCAAAGAATATTAAAGCTACTTAATGTTAAGACTATTCTGAAACGATTAGTTAAATTTTTTAAAAAAATAATTAGAAGTGACCACGTTTTTATAGCTTATATTTTTATTTCCTTAAAAAATGTCATGCAGAACCACAGTTGGAAAGGTATTTAGCCTTATGAGGGCTAAATCAGAAAGATTATTTCAGGAATTCACAAAAGATTTTCATGGGAGTCAGACACTTGCCTGCAGAAATATTTTTGAAACGTCTATGAGGTGTAACCCTAAATCCTTAGGTGTTGCATAGTTGGCCCATACTAATTGTCATTTTTAGTGACAGGATACACAGTTTCATTTGCAAATATGGAAATCTGGACAGCTTTTGCATTGAAGAACCAGACTGATGGTTTAAGATGCTGCAAGATCAACTTGTAATAAACAGTGCCCTTCACTTAGTTCTTTCTTCCTAACTCTACTCTGTAGCACGCCACCTTCTCCACAAAGAAGTATTTGCTGTACATCTTCCTCCACTGTTCTTCATACAGCCCTCTCCACATTTCTCGTGATTCAGTCAGAGATTGCCAACAGATTTCTGACACAAAGCACAATCTGAAGAAAACGCAGAACTGATTTCTTTCTGTGTATATTTTATTGTTACAAGGAAATCTATCTCATTGAGGATGTTGCCAAGACTAAACAGTCATGAGTCCAGCCGAATAAAACCAAGGCACAAGTTTAACCACTCGAAGTTTGCCACAGGTAGCATCTTCTGAGTCAAAATTATACCTTCTCATTTCTATCACCATCTCTCTGCTATGTAACAATTCTCATAAACCCAACACAGAGGCTCCTGGGCCTGTAACTGAAGTGTTTTTGTTGAGTCAATGGATTATTGGACCTTACAGATGAAAAGTATATACCCTACATCACAGAACTCTATAGTGAGTACTTAGTTGATATGGAATCGGATTTTAATTTACTCAAAGTTGAAATTTTTAGAGAAAAACTAAACCCAACAATTTTGATTAATGTATTCCTTCTTTTCTTTTTTTTCCCCCTCCAACAGTAATTTTTGTTTGTTATGACAAGCAGTCACTTTCTATGAATAATTTGTTTTCAATATTCAATTTTTTGATGAAAAAATATTTTCATAGAAACCTTTCAGTCACCTTTAAACACATTTGCTCTTTAATGGAACATATGAGGCCACATTCTGAGTATTTCCACAGTAGGGATGTGTACTTCAGCATCTCTCTTCACTACACCATCCTCGTGCCTGAGGTCTATTGATGTCATGCAGCCTCAGCTATCTTTAACATTGTTTAGTACTAAACTCCTTACACTGAACACACAGGGGATAAGAAACAGTGGAACCAGACTCTCTGCAGCCAATTATCAGAGGAAAAAAGTTTTCTTTACTAGACTAAATTGAAGTCCCTGAGCTGAGACCACTAAAAACTACCTATGAAAAATGTTTTGTTCCATTAAAAGGTGTTTCAATACAAACTATCATTTTCACCAAAGTAAATTATATTCTTCAATTTTCATATTTTTTCCAAGTAGGACTGAGGTTCCAATCACACTGCTCAGTGTGGCTTCCAAGATACATTAATACAAGTCCTCAGCCAAATCCCTCTGTGTGACAGCATTATGCCAAGTTCTTCTGCATGATTTTATTTATTAAAATGGAAAATCTAGGACAGAGGAACCACAGGATACTGTTCCAGTTAGTTCCCACCACGGTGCAAGGCCCCAGTAATGGATATCCAGGGAGATTAGGAGGTGCAAAGCAGGAGGTCGGAGCCCACATACAGCCCTGGGCTTACCGATGTTTCAGGTGTTTCAGGAACACAGACACCCTCTTCCCCACCATGAAGACACAAGGTCAGGCACAAGCAAACCTCTGTGCCAGAGATCTGGGCAGGGGCAGGGTGGGAAGCCTTTCTCATTCCCTCTTTCTGTGCAGGACAGAGACAGCAAGTCTGAGAGCCGCACCACCTCTATACCTTCTCAGTACTTCAAACTCCTTGTAAGGGGCAGCAGGAAGAGGGAGAAGTAGCAACTGAACCATGCACACCCAGGAGCTTCTATAAGGCACGTGGTTGAGATTCCCTTAGTGTCTCCTGCAGTGGGCTGTAACAGCTGCAATAGGTCCTATAATGAACCATGGACATTAACCTCAGCCGTAGAGCTGGGGAGAAAACAAATAACTAAATAATCAATCAATAAATGATTTTTTAGTAAAAAATTCAAATTTACTGACCTCTCACTAACACAGAGGTAAGTCAGAGAGCTCATAAAGAATGTCTACTTCATTCCTCTGGCCCCAACGGAGACATTTATGGAGTATGAAATACAACTGCAGGATCTCAGGTAGCCCACCGTGTCCTGAGCAGCAGTCTCTGAGTGGCCTTAAGGTGTCTAAGCAGAGACTCAAATTCAGAGACCTTGAGGCCTCCTTGGGTTTGTGGAAGGAGAGGATCAAGCATGTGCCACCACCTTTTTTGCACTCATGTCCCCCACCCCCAGCAGACCCAGGTGGCAGCTGCCAACCAGGGCCTGACAGCACAGCAGCATGGCAGCAGTGCAGGTGGCACAAGGCCGTGCGATTTGAGTGCCAAGTCAGAAACCCATCACCCAAACAGATAAGTTAGATGCTGAGAGAACCAAGTGAAAACCACACTCATTTTCTTTTTGATTCAACATTAAAGGCATGACGGGAACCCTGCGTTGGTCAGACCTTTTGGGTTCATCTGTCTGCACCTCATCCTTGAACTCAGCACACCCAAAAGAACATGGGCTGAACTATAAAACCTTGCTTTCTAGAACACAAATAGAAGAAAGATCCTCCAGAAACCCAGAAAACTCAAACAGAAAAGGGCTATGACCTGACCTCCCTGCCTGTTTTCCCTCTGCAGTACCAATCCTTTCTTTCAAGATTCCTCTCAACTCCAGCAATGCTCAGAGGTTGCTTGATGGGTCAGAAGGCTTCTGTCACCTTTGAGTACCCAGCTTTCTTTCCATCATCCCTGCGACTCAGCTATGGGTTAGTGGCAGACCCTTCTCTCACACACCTCCTGGGCCATTGTGCATTGCAAACACGCGAGTGAGTGTGTGTTTGTGAATGTCAACCTCCCAGTGGTCAGCGTGCCAGGAGCTCCCTTCCCACCTCACTATACCTGCTCAATCCCCAGGCAGCCCTATCCCTTTTTTCCCCCAGGTGACCTCTCTGTACTCAAAAGGCAGTGGCCAGGCAAGGCAAACAGGCAGACTTTCTCCCTGGCATATAATACACATTTATATATTACAATTGTGAACAAACAAATTATACTTCTGCACAGCTGGTCACAGGATATTTCCTTTCTCTTCCTGACTAGCAAAAGTCATACAAAGCCTTCTAGGCAATGCATTTCACCGTCTGAAAGCATGCTGTGAATTAATGCTATGCAATGACTACATTGGTACCATCTCTGAAAAATGTTTCCTACGCATTTTGTAAAAATTTTAATAGGGAGTGGGGTGCATTTTCTTTTTTTCAGCTAAAGGTCAGATTTGAAAGGAGTAAACTTGATGTATATCTCCAGAAAGCCTTGAATATCAGGAACAGATGTGAAAAAAAGTCATTGTTTGCTTCCATTTCCAGAGGGGACTAAAAAGCAGCATCTTACTAAGCAAAATGTCTACTGGAATTTGGGGAAGACTTTTTTTAATCAAAATTTCTGTAGGACTGGGTCCTCTCTTCAGCTTTCGTATGTGTGTGCGCACATGCACACATGCATATCTATAAACTTTTGCATGTCTTTACATAAATACACAAACAACTGCTAGGACAGGACCCATACAGGTGCCATATGCTGCAACAAGTGAGCAACCACCAATTAAGAAAGGCTTAGTCCCACACTTTTATCATTTGTATAAATAGCTTCACATTTTTCAAAGGTGGGTGGAATGGCAGGACTCACACACACATCAAATCAGAGTCCCTCTACATAGGCAATTGTGTGCATGCAGTGTACTATCATGTAATTAAATACAGACTTTCAACAGTTACTGTCTCTTTTGAGAATGTTGTTCTAGTATACCAAGGGATCATAGAACATGTTTAAATTTTATTAGGATTTTATAAACTGAGACCTAAGTGTTAGCTAGCAATAAAGCACTGCTACTGTAATTACAGTCTGCTGAATGCAAAGAGCACTGTTCCCAGGTTTTGAGCTAATTTCAGAGTGACCCACCTCTGACAAACTGAGACTTGTAGGGATTTCAGCCTTTCTGCAGCTGAATCCAGAGTTAAAACCTTCTTTAAAGGTGTGAGCTGATTTGCAAAAGAATTTTGAAGAGATACATAAATCCCCTTTTTCCTCAATTATTAAATACCTTAATCACTATCTGTTCTGTTAAGCAAATCTTCCCCATTCCTGATGCTATCACTCACTCTTGGTTTTGCATGAGACCAGCCCAGCTTTCACAGTACTGGGAAATACCACCATGATGCACGCTATGGGTCCAGTTAATACTTTTCTTTGTCTGAACACGGAGCACAAGACTGCATGCTGCACTCTATCCCACATATGTCCCAAATTACTCTCTTTAAGCATTTGATGATGCTCAGCAGTGGGTTTAGAGCATCTTTGCATTACGTGCCTTGATATTGCACTGCAAAACAGGCCTTCAAGCCAACAGCAACATACTTAGAGAAGAATGGTTTCCCAGCTAGGGAAAGGGCCAAGGCAGACAGGAACGAGTAAGGAATTCAGAGGTAAAATGCAAAAGGTTATTCGTACTAGTATGACAGTGTCAGGCTGGACTCCAACATTATCGTCAGAAGGAAGACTTCAAAATATCTGAAGTTTTCTCAAGTATTGTGCTCTGCCCATGCCAGACTGCATCACCCACTTGAGACATTTCCAGCAAAGAGGAGTTTTTTGTTTTTTTTTTTTTTTTTCTGATGCCACCCTCACATTTGGCAGCAGCTCCTCATGAATATCCACAAAACTGCTTCACCTCCTTCCTTTGCTGTCCTCCTGCCTCTTCCTCACCTCTTCAAATATCCATCACTCATCTTTCAGTTTGGCTACCAAAGGATAAACATTTCTTCTTCCAGTGAACTATTTTATGGCAGAAAAACGCAGACTCTGCTTCTCCTTTTGGACTTGTTCCTCTGTCTTCCCCACTCCTACCTTATTGGGAAGTGCTATCCCCAGTAGACTTAGCAATGTAGTACTCAATGTCTCACTTAACACTGGCTGGTGGGAAACGGCTGTGAAATGAGTCTCCTGTTACCCTGTGCCATAGCATGTCCTCGAAACAAGCTTCAGGGCCAGTGGTCCAAGAGAAGACTAAACTTGGCTGCTGCCAAGCCACAGCAGCAACCTAAGCTGTCTGATTTTACCCTTGGCAGGGTCTCACCATGAAGCACCCTGGATCCATAATAAAAACAGAAGCAATACTGAGCTCAGAGGTTTTGTATTTGCATGTAGGACACAGTTCTGAAACACCAGCAGGGGAAAAAAAACCCCAAAGCTGGTTCATCAGCAAATCAGGTCATTAGAAGTCTCAAAAAACATGAATGGAAATTTTAGCATAGAAAATGACTTTGCATATTCCTAAGTTTTAAGCACAGAGACTCTCTCAACAGTGCTATCTGGAGTTGTTGCTAAGTGCATACTAATATGCCTATGTGATTTATGTGTACACATAAATGTGCATACATATCCCAAAGAAAGAATGTCTTTGTCTATGCATATACAAATCTAAATACACAAACACACTTGTGAATTTTATTTATAATTGAATGTAGGTATTTGACATTCCCACTTCATGCTATGTCAAATAGAAGGTCATCATAATAACCCATATTTACTTGTGTCTTCCTAAATTAGAGAACATTAACTACAGGGTCTTAATGCTCCGTACACCTTTTCTGTCTAGGCACCTACCTGGACAACAGCACTGCAGTATCTACAGTCATAATAGTCATTAGTGGCCTTTATGTGTGATTTGCTCTGTGGAGAGGTGGGAGTACAGTTCAGAAGTCCTAGATGAAGTCTATAGTGGAGCCCAGAGTTGAAACCAGAACTGCTAAATCCTCACCAGATACCTTTCTGAGCAACCATATAAACAAATCATTATTACAGATGGTCTTGTAAAAGGAAAGACTTGTGACTTTGAGTGTATTTAAGACTCTACACTTATGTTTATGCTTCTCCCCAGTATCCGTCTATATGGAATCCTGCTCACGAAGTGGCACCCATGGTCTCATCTATGCAGTGCAAGCTACTGACAGCTTCTTGAAGCCCACAGGTATGAGTTTAGGAATCTAGGCTTCAGTGTGCATTTTTTAAAAGTCTGGGACTGCACTTCTGTAAAATAGTATATTTTGCATGGGTAAGGGATGATATTTTTCACCGCAAATAAGTGGTGCCTGATGTGAGCACAGTCCACAGATCATGCCCCAAAACATCTCAGAGATGAACTGCACTGTCCAAAGGTGTCAAATCTGAACCCTAGCAAAAGAAATTTTAAAATGATCCCTAATTAAATTTAACTTTAATTTAATTACTTAATTACTCTGGCATGAACATGTGCTACTTACATTTACATTGAAAACTTCAGGAAAGCATGAAATAAACTGAATATGGCATGACGATAAATAACCAAAAGGATAACATAGTGATTGTTTCACTCATTTTCAAATTAACTCAATGCAGTCCTGTATTTCTTGATTTATCACTGTCTCCAGTCTACCATACAGCAGGACTGTGGGCTAAGAATTGTGTCAGGGAAGATGTCCCAGATCTGCTGAACTGCATGTCAGTTCACATGCTATGAGCTAGAAATTTCTGCCACACAACTTCCATCTCATTTTTCCACTTCACCGTCCTGTGCTCTTCCATTTCCTGTGGTTTCATTTCCCCCTTGCCTCCATTCCCCTCCTTAGCACTGTGCTCTCTGTCCTGCTGTCCCCTCGAATCACTCGCAGGTACTCATCCAAGAAGGAACTCCTTTTCTTCTCCTTTGTGTCCCTCTGCAGAGGACCTTCTGCTTTCTCCTGTGTTTTGCAGCTCCTCACCCTTTCTGACACCGAATTCTCTTTTCTATGTCTTGTCTCTCATTTGTTTGTCTTTTTGTATTCAGATCACTATCTTCTCAGAGCCGCAAAAGCGCATTATTTCTGCTCCGTAAGGAGGCATAGAAATTTACAGGGCTGTATAAATATGTAATAATCAATAATCATAATGATATCACATTAAAATTCAAGCCTACAACCTCAGCAGCTACCGTAGAACAAATAATTTACAGAGGTTACATGCACAGAACTTTGCTGAAACTTGGTAAGGGGATTAACTTAAAGAATTCCTTATTGGGAAGTCACTAATTATTTGCTGTTGTTAAGTGCTATCTGGCACACAGTTATCTGGAATTGCTTTGTAAAGCTGAAACACTATGGTCTAAAAATCAATCCAGTTGAAAGGGATGGGATTTAGGTGCCTAAATAGACAGTCTAGGATATGCCGCCCAACTGGCGGCTGCTGCCCCATGTGGGCATGAACTTCAGGAAGCCCTGTGTCCTAACTGACTGCCCTATGTAGATGTCTCATACCCTAACACATCTAAAATGACACTCCCCATCTATGTTTACGCAAACAAGTTTCACCCTTGTACCTTCAGCTCCACAGCCCTGATATTTGAATTGAAATGTAAAACTCTAAAATAATCTGCCTCAGAATGGCCTTGAACTTGGCGTCACATCAAGCTAAAGAACAGGAAGGATGATTCCTTTGATGTTGACTTTGCAGTCCATTTGCAATCCCTTTACCCTTGGAAGTGTAAATTACAGAAGAAAAGCAGAATGGAAGTGAGTTAAAGGTTATAAATACCTGGTGTCAGGAGTATAACAGAGGTGACAATCAGGGAGCAGATAACGAGAATAACAAGTAAGGCAATTGCAATTCCTTTCCAGTTTCTTTGAGGAGGATTACTCCCCACCAGCTCCTAGAAACATCAAAGGAAAGTGAACATTTAGAAGAGGTACTTAGACAAGAAAACAAACAGCAGAATCCAAACAGCAATCTTATTATGTTTGCAACCCTACACCATGCACCCTGCAACCATTGTGGATGAAGCCCGTAAGCCAAATACAACTCATGCCATTATAATCCATTGCAGTGTTAGTTGAATTCATTCCAAGTCAGACTATACAATGAATAAATGCCCTGCACTCATAGGATGGTTGGTAATGTAACCCACACACCCCATCGCCTCCTCACATACGAGCATCAGCCACCCACACCATCCAAACTCACTTATCAAAAGCCGATTTCCTACCAACCCTCTTTAAGTCTGGGAATAAAGAGCTTTACAGTAACTTTGAAGAGACTTTTATAATAAGATGCCAGAGGAGAATCAGGAAGATAAATAATTCACAGGGGCATGTATGGAGATAAAAATCAATAAGGATATCCCCATGGCTTCCCAGAAAACATCATATTCCCTCAGGACACCTTGCATGCATTTCTAGGTTGGCAGGTCTAAGGACATGAAGACAGAATTCACATTTAGCATATACATCAAATTTAATCACATCCTTAAAACTTTAGAATAAAAGCTCCATCACTATTCACTGATTAGCTTTGAGTTCACTGTGGTTGTACCATATGTTCTGTCTACGATGTATACAGCACCCCTGCTCTCGAGACTGAGTTTTATGAAGTGCTGTGTTTGCATTCACAAGATCTTAAGTATTTATTGCACTTTATCCCTTTCATGCTTTTTGCTGAATTCCCCTTAGCACTGTGCATTAAACATGATTTCATGCACGCATTGAAGCATCCCCAGGAATTGTATGAAGTATCATTGCACTCCATTTTCCTGGAAGACTGAATTCACTCAAGGGATCTGGCCTCAGCCAGAAAACTCTAGATGCTCCTCCTCCTTGTTGACCTCACCAATTTAGAATTTTTGCCTTATTTCCTTTATTATGAGGGATGGTGGGTCCAAGACAGACCTACTGGTACGTCTTTAAAATATTCTTCTATTTTTACTTTTTAAAATTTTTCAGGAAAACGTAGATCTTTATAATAGACTAAGTTCTTCTGTAATTCAGAGTTTGTTTCTCTTACTGTAACTTTTTCTTATACACAGAAACTTGACTTGAAGAAGGAGGTCAGGAACACCTCACAGTTTTGATTTCAGAAAACACTGAAAATAATTTTTTAACTTTTTCCATATTAAGAATCCATTTTACAGAAAAAGATAATGTTGTGACACTCCTCCTGTATGTTTGGGGATCTGTTCATTACAAAGGCTATAAATCTGCAATGGAAAGTCAGGTTTGAGGCATTAAACCTCTGAGGTAGCACCAGTATTTCATTATTTATTCTAGTTCTGGAACAGACACGACGGTTCTCTTCCTTCTGGCAAAGAGGGGTAGAGGTTAGCACCCCCTCCCCTCTTTGCCTTCCCCTCATTTGCACTTGGCTTTCTATTTGAAATGGAAAATAATTGGAAGGAACAAATTTATAGTTTATTATTCTTACTGGAGAAAAATCTGAAAACTAGGTCAGGAGCCTTGAGAAATGCTATTTTGCCAATAAGTAAACAGAAAGAATATAAATACTTGCATTTTTATAGCATCTTCACCCCAAGCACGAATAAAAATGTTAATTAATTTAGGCTTCTAACACCTTTTTTAGGAAACTGTTACAGTCCCCATTTTTCAGGTGATGTAAATAGGCTCAAAATGAGAGTTTGTGACTTTCCCAGGGTCACACACAAATTGGGAAATAAAGCCAGGAAAGGAATTCAGGGCTTCTTAGTAAGTGGCAGAAATATTCTTCCTCTCACAGCAGGGCACAGTGGGACCTAGAGTGATGACAGGAGAACTGGAGAGAAGCAGCTGAGAAACCACAGAGCTTCTACCCAGCCAAGCCCTAGCGGTGTCTAAGGACAGGACTAGATGATCTCCAGAGGTTCCTTCCAGCCCCTGCCATTCTGTGATTCTGTGGTAAGACGCAGGCCGCATTACAGGACTGATGGCAACAGTCGCATTCCTGAAAATAATCTAACAACCCTCTTCCCTCCCAAATGGTCAGAAGTTTTAAAATTGAAAAATATAGTTCACAGACTTGAATTAGCTCTACAAACCCAGGTGTAGTTCAAAAGCTTAATAAAACATAGCATTAAGGAGGATTCCCCACCCATGAGTCCTAGCAGGATAGAAATCCACACACATACTTAAACTTTCCACACAGCAATACTTCAACTGTATCTATGATCACCCATTAATTCTTCAGTCATCCAATCAATATTTGAGGAAAATCACAACAAAAAAGACTGGGAATTTCTTGTGCATCAAGAGGAGGAAAACCAATCATAAACAAAACTTTGGGGTTTAATGCACTGCAAGGAAGCAGAAAGGAATGTTTTCACTTTATTTTCTAAATTCCATCAGGAATTTTCCCCTGATAAAAAGCAAGAAGAGATAAATGACATTTCAAAGAAAGGTAAACAGCTTTATTCACCACAGGTTTGGAAAGCAGCTTTTTTGTTCTTCTTGGTCATTTGACGCCTCTTTCAATGCAATCGCTTACAGTAAAGCTGCTGCGCACACATCTTACCGTATATAGGATAGCACCACCACCTTAGATCTTTCCTATCCATATTTCTGTAATTCCAGAGAGATGTTGTTGAGTCACTCTGACCAGTTTTACTTCCAGGAGATTACAGCCTCGCCACCAGTTCATGACACCCCACGCTCTTGGCAGCAAACTCCAACCCTTCAACAGGAGTTCCCACAAGCAAACATCAGCTCCTATTCACACTGCTCAGGAAAGCCTCTGTGCTAGGGACTGAAGCCAGGAAGGTGTTTAATTAAGCTGTAGGCAGGTACAGATTCAAGCGCATAATGTTCTTGAAGTGGCACCTCAAAGGGTTTGTTTAAAAACACACAGCACAAAGCTTTAATTTGTCCGTTCCTGGAAGATCCGACCTTGCAGATGCAAACACAGAGATCTAAAGCAACCAGCAAACAGATACACTTCATGAACCATGGCTATTAATCCTAAAGATACCACTCTGGTTTTAATATTGAAATCTGAGCATATTAGACAAATGGAAATAAACCAAGCACACACGATTTCTGCTGCAACAAAATGACTCTACTAAAAACAACATAAAAGGAAACATTAAAACAGAGTCACTCATTGGTAAGAGTCACCTGCTCTCTGCTTCTCATGAAGAACTAACACAACGCCTGTATGACCTCTGCAAGAAAGCTAAAGCCCTTCAGCCTGGTTTTTCTCCTTTTATCCTTTGCTGTTTTCCACCCCCTTCTTTCTCTTACATAGAACCTTAATTGGTTTTGGATTAGGAAAGTAAAACAGATGTTACCACAGGTTTTAACATGAGCGCACTTCATTGATGCTGCATATTAAAAACTGTAAATGTTATCATTTCATCTTCATTTGTGACTGAAAAATAATGCTACCCACCTGTGAAGTTGACTTTGAAGCCATAAATCCAGACATTTACAGTATTTTGAGACTCTAAAATACAGATCTGTGATGACATATTTTCCTGCCTGTGGAAGAATCACTGTACTGACACTTGCTATGGATGAAGGCTGGATGTGTTCCAATCCAAGATGCTGTCAAAAAAATTATTTCTGGCATGTTTACTTGAAACCTGCCAAAAGTCTGCCAGCATGGTGGCCATATTACAATAATATAACAGCTTCTTAAAAAAAAAACTTATCAAGCACAACCTTCTTTTTTTTGGTTTTGTTTTTAATAGTCATGTCTATATTGCTAAATGAAAGAAGGACAATATATACTTCACTTGTCAAGTATTGGTATTATTTAATAAAAGCTATACATCCTGGACCAAAACCTCTGAAGTAGCAATAGCAGGATGGTCATGATGGGCCTCTTAATCTTTTTCAACACAGAGTCGCCACTTTTGTGCAGTTACCACAAACCTAGCTGTGTTATACTGGAATATATACATTCCAGATACACATGTGATGGGCCTTACTGAAGGAGGTGACATCAGGCCATGGCTGCAGACAGGAGACTGAGCTCTCCTCTCAGTTACACCAGCGTAAATCAGAAAGAAAAGGAAAAGAAAAAAAAAGAAAACCAAATAAATTAACAGTACGAAACAAAAGCAGGTGCAAGATCTTTTATTGGCTTCAGAGGTGGCGGGATAGGGTTTATAGCAGTGCTTTTTTATGGTTTCCATACCTGCCATTCTTGTAAGCTCTGCTTCTTGCTTTTTTTTGTTTCTTTCTAAATTTTAACTAAATAACCTGAAACACTACGCTCATGAATATAATAAATGAAAATTCTTCTAGCAAGCTTGTTAACACACAGTTAATTGAAAAATATGTATTCTAATTCTACTGTTAACTTATGCTGCCTTATTCTGAATTAAAACTTTTGCCTGATGACCTAACAGTGAGTGCAATGTCTCTGGCAAGTCAGCTCACCAATTTCAGAACATGCCACAGAATAAAAACTTTGCTGAGGAATTAAGGTACAGGAACACTGTTGTCCCTGGCAAAAACTCCTACGATGTTCAGTGGAAAAACAATCTTGCTGTTAATTAGTTCTTTATAATACAAAATTGCTGCAGATTATAAATGCTAAGCAGTACAACAAACGAGATAAAGTGTAGGTAACCCATATGGTTAGATTATTAACCTTGTGTTGCAAAAAAGAAATATTAATTGCAATGATAATGGCAGTAAACTAGACACATTGCAGTGGTTACAGCAGGTGGTTTGCTGAGACTTCTGGTTATATTGCTCATCGATACTGCCTTACTCTCTCATCGCACTCTTCCACCTGTCTGGATCCTCTGCTGCTCTCCTGCCTTAAATTAAGGATGGAGGTTCTTCATGGGCAGGAAACATTTTTGGTACCTTGCCTGGCACAGGGGAAACCTCAAGCCCTAAAATCTTAGGCAGTTTCATAATATGGATAAACAATGATAAG